TTATTCATAACAGCTTCAGGTGACAAGATGTGAAACACCAGGGGCAAAATACTATGCCCGAAGGCTTCCCAAAACAGGATTACAGACAAGCATTACTTCATAAATTACCTTAAAATGCCTGAAAAGGCCCAGCACAGGTTGGGCACATTCAGCAGCATGAGGAACCATTAAGCCAAATGTGACAAGGCTGCATACACTTTGCAAAACTAGAAAACTGGTGAAACAAAGAGGTCAGAATTCTGGATGACATATCTTGTTTTACCATGGCATTTGACCTGGGTACATAGGCAGATGCATACCTTCCATGTGAATCAGAATTTTGATACACATTTTTTAACCTTGGCTTTTTTTAGGTAATCACTACAGCTGTCTAGTCATTACAGTCTGTCTGGGTGGCTCAGTTCATTAGAGCACCTGCCTCCCGATGGGTGGGGTGGGTTTGGGCCGCTTTAGGTGCTCGTTATTTGTCCTCCTTGACAGGTATGGCCTGGGGCCGGTGGCAGTGGTCGTCGTAAAGGTCAGTTGACATCAGAGGGCAGGATAGATGGTGTGGAGCATGGCAGCATGTTAAGCTTTTGCCACTAAATTCTGCTGTTGCCTGGAATTGTGCAATCTGACGGTAGTGGTCAGGGCGCATACAACAAGCACTGCTTAGCGTGAGCTCTGGTCCCAGAAGTCCATCCATTCAAAGCATTTGGATCAAAACTCTAAAAAATAAATAAATGGAGATGCTTCATCTTCACTTATGCTACATCTAGATGGAATGAGGCACCAGGGTCACTATCAAAACCAGAAGAGCAATTTCTTGCTTCTCCCAAATTTACAGCATGATTTAACCCATAGCACAATGACAACAATTTTAAATACTCTTTTTACCATAGATAAAAATGATGAGCCCTTTAAAATAACACATTTTCAAACCCAACCCACCAATACCTCATGACACACCTCTCCAACCAATATACTTATCCAGCTCAACAACAGGGGTACTGATGGTGTGGTGATTACATTAAGCATCTGGGAAACCAGAGGCAAGGGATTTAATCAACCACAGCCTCAACAGCTGAGTATGTCATAAAAGCCCAATGGTGCGCACCAGTTTGACAATGATATCATGCTATTGCAGAAACAAAATACAACATCGGTCAATGCACACATACATAATTTGTGCACATGGCTGGACTGCAAATGATGCAAGATAGGCCTGAATGGAAGAACATATTCTGAGCAATCCGAGTGTGACTTACCCCAATTCGTGGCAGTAATACGTTCAAACTTCCACTTGTTTATCCAAAAATCCAGTTGCGGCCAGGGCGTCTTCAGAAGAAATGATCAGCCTTCACAACTACGTGCGAAACTACTGCTTAGCTTCGCATGTTTGGTAATTGTACCAACTAAAATAAATAAAAAAATTATGAATGGGGGTCCAATGTCCGGTACAACTCATGACACAAATATCTGGGGAGTCCCGATTTCGCGACCGTCCCTCTCTCAACGCACTGTCACCTGTTGCTATTCTTAAGGGCGTCAACAAACCAGTTCAATCGGCCTTGGGGGACGTTTCGCAGTTACATGAATATTTGTCGTCCTGAGTAAGCTGCAGCTTCCCAAAATATCATGCTACCAAGAAGTAATGCGCCACTTTCTGTCACAAAAGCGTAAGAATGCTATACATGCAACGTCAACGACCTCGTAATTTCCATATTCTTGTACCGTTAGTCGGTCATTTCGCATATCCAAACTAAAGTACAAAATTGCGGTTGAAACTGAATGCACTGAGATTTAGACCTAAGTGTAATCGAGGCATAATCACAACAAAGTGTAAGGAATGCTGCTGGTGAAGACCTTTACCGGTGTGATCACCAAGACCCGCATTCATAACGTTACCGGGTTGTTAGGGCCAGAAAGGATGAGGTCCATTGAAACCACATTTTCTCGTCATTGAATGTCGTAACATTACAGTGATCATAACGAGCACCTTGCATTGTCAAACAGCATTACACAACGCGAGGAATATCGTATCAAATCAACCCGGGCGAAAGAGACCGGACCAGAAAGTTTTCTTATCTTATAAACATATGGTAGCTGGCATTTGTTACTATCACGGCGCATGCTGTTTCGTGGGTAGGTAAGGTAAACAGTGGGCGTGTGTGTGTTGGGCGTAGAGGGGTGGGGTCGTGCGTGAGGCGTTGAGGTTGCACATCATGTAACTGTCGCGTCATCTTGCACTTGGAATGGCGGTGCAGATGGCTGTGTAAAATGTCCTTTGTGCCCAAGCTTACCGAGTGGGCAGGGTGGTTATCTCAGCCATGGGCGCATGCACGCCGAGTAGATTTGGTGTCAGTAACAATCTGCAAGAAATTCATATATAAGTCAATTAATTTCATTTGATGCGCATTGCTGCGTAGGTGCTGGGCACTTAAATAACATACATTTTCTGATCCTGGTGCCTGTGTTCCATGAGCTCAGGCCAGGCTGCTCTAAATTTTTTACTTATTTGGACACATGTATTTCTTTTGCATGAGTAGTGTGTTGGGGACCTTAGCCCAAAATTGCCTTAAAAACATCTAAGCCCCCTGAAACATTGGCTTCTGGGGGCTTCATTCTGGATTGGCACACCATGACACTAAGCCACAAGGTGTGCATGTGCTGAAATGTTTTGCAGGGTTGGTGCTATACATTAAAAATGTCCTTTAATATGTATTTGTCTAGTTTGGTGCTATGGGGAGGACTGAGCATAGGGAAATGACTATGCCTAGCCCTCAAGATCCTTTGCAAACATGTTTTTTGTCAGGATTTTGTTCACTACATATAAAATTAGACACTGGAGCCTCTTCTGCTGAATATGAGGTGCTAATAATTAGACATGCCTGTTACCCCCTCTCCTAACAATGAATGCTGCATTGATAATCAGCAGCAGCTCTCCATATAATAATGTGTATTTTGTTTCAGGGAGATAGTGCACTTCTTCTGTATGTAACCAGCATTCTGGAGGTATTCACCTGGCAACAAAGTATTATCATTCCTTTTAACTCAACACATTATGGGCTCAGCAGATGGCTCACTTACTCTGGTAATCCAGCATAGTAAGTATGGTGTGAATGTGAATTGTGTATTGTGGCTGATTTATGTGCAGTAAAGCCAGGGCCTTGATATGTCTCCATTTAAAAAATCCAAAGATCATTTAGTATTGATTATCTGCCTGCTACATGCATACAAGGCAATGTTAGGGACTTTCAAAACTTATTAAGATGAGTTAAAGTATGCAAATCCTGGCTTTATGTGAGGTAAGAAATCAAGTAATCTCAAAATGATGTGTATTAAAGCTGGCTCATGTTTAAAATTTGTTCCCATTTCAGTGGGCAAGAAAGAACTAGTGACATTTCAAACAAGCACCACTCTCAGGGAGTTCCAACAGAAGGTTGAGGAGATGACCAAGGTTCCAGCATCTGCCCAGAAGGTTGTGCACAGGTATAGAGCAGCAGTGGCTGTCTGGCCACCTGTCATCTTGTCTGTCCAGCCTGTCTGGTCTGGCTGACTGGCTGCCTGCCTGCCTTGTCTGTCCAACCTGTGTGGTTTGACCAGTCAAGCATTGATAAAGAGCAGGATCATATGAAGGACTGTGACAGCGCTGTGTGCCATGTAGCCTGGGGGGGTCTTGATGCATATAACCGGCTGCCAGGCCCAGTCCCCCTGAACCATCTGCCTTTTCAGGGTCGGGATTTAGCCAGGAACGATCCTGACATCACCCTGGACGACTGCCGAGTCAGGCATAAAGACATCCTGATGATTCTGGGTAAGTACCACACTCTGCTTTTGGGCCTACTGTGGACATCTCCTTTGAACCATATGGAGCATCTCATCAACATTAGAACCCTCCAAACCAGCTCTTCTTACCACACTCAGGATATATTGTGCCATGTTCAAGGCCTACAACATGTTCACCCACAAAGCCCTGACCAATGGTTGAGCACATTGTAGTGGTACGGTTCTTCGGGCTTGCTGTAGTGTACGTGGCATTTCCAGGCATTACGTACATTTCTAGCACTATATGAATGGTACATCATATCTCATGCAGGCTGTAAAGGTATGCCCCCACATGGTGACTGGAGGCCCTAGTAACTCTGCGCTAACCGCGGCGGTTTCACAGTTGCCTAGATCTTGAGATACATGGCCGTACAGCTTGTTGCCTAATTGGTCTGGACTGACGAACGCATGATGGCCGGTATGGTGAGTGACCTTGACCTGCAGTCAAGCCTGAGGACCCCGGTTGGCGGGACGAGAAAGCTGGCGAACCGTCTGTGACGTGCATACGGTGACCTGACCTTGACCTGACAGGTCGGCGCTGAGACCCGTGTGCGGGACGAGACGCTGGCGACCGATCTTGGGAGGGGGGGGGCCCTGCATACGTTGTGAGCCCTTGAACCTGTAGGTCGGGGCGCGAGGGGATCCGGTGCGGGACGAGACGCTAGCCCGCCATCTGTGACCTGCAATACTTGTAACCTTGACTTGCAGGTCGGGGACCCGAGGAACCGGTGCGGGACGAGACGCTGGCGGCCATCGTGACCTGGAAGACGCCAGGCGGACCGGCGGTCCGTGGCGCGGCTGGATGCCTGTGGTGCGGACGACATGGATGGCATGAAGAAGGGTGCGCTGGGTCGTGGACATCGTAGAGTCCGTAACCATTTTGTAGTCTGTTTTTTTTCTCTCCAGCTGCTTTTTGAAGGGTGTCTTGTACAAAATGATCCATAAATAGGAAGGGAGGATCAGAAGGTGATGGAGCTGCATGCCTACCAGACTGAACAGTAGTTTGGTTTGGACAATTCGGTAGTGCTTCCTGATGGGCGTTCAATTTGAAATAGCATCTTAGAGTTAGTATGAGTTATTGGACATCGTGAGACAAGGCTTGGTATAAGTAAGGGTGTGTTACCATACAGTAAGTGATCCCACGATCGTCGGCGTGTTGCTGTCGCACGTGACCGATATGGTACCTCATCACTTCTGCTCACTGTGGTTTCGAGAATTTCCAAATATTTGTGCAAAATGGCAGTAGTCCTCTCCATGGAATAGCTTATGGCCATTTTAGAGAAAGATTAGACATACGTCTGATTCCCCGCTGCGCCCGAACTAACAGTGCGCGCGCTTAACTTCCGGAGTTATATCTTCAGCACCAAAAGCTAGATTTGTCCACGCCTTTTTGGTGGTGTTGGCATTGTCGGGCTTGGCGACGCCGTATTGCTAATATGAACTCTACTAATGCCTTGAATTGGTGCCGCCACTCGTTCTCCCCCCCCCCCCCCCGCCCCCTCTCCTCTCTCCCAGTCCTCCGCGTGTGGCGCGTGAGGCGGGCGCCGTCTGACCGCCGTGCTCCGGTCCGACAGGGCTTCCTGCCGGCGGCGCTACAGAGCGAGACGCGCGGCCGGCTGGAGCGCCGCCTGGCGGCTGTCTCCGAGGAGCTGATGCGCCTGCTGGAGCGGCTGGACGCGCTGAGCGTGCAGCAGAGCGCGCCCGAAGTGCGGCGCAAGCGCAAGGCCGTGGTGACCGCCATCAGCACGCAGATGGACCGGGCCGACGCCGTGCGGGCGGCGGCGCTGGCTGAGCGGGGCTCGTAGCGGGCTGGGACGGCCGCGCCACCGCCCGCCCCGCACACCGAGACCGAGATCGGCCCGGGTCGGCCCGGCTCGCTGCACCGAGACGGGCCGTACCGGCTCGAGGTGTCCGCACCTCTCCCACGTCCGTCCCTGTCGGTTCTCTGATTGTTACATCGGGGTGGGGTGGGGGTAAGGGGCTACTCCGCCCTCTCCCCTCGCGTGTTGACTCGGCCATGGCTTCTCCGGGCCGGCCGTTCACGACCTCCCCCGTCATGCAGCCCCGGTCGTCCCGACTCTGGCCGGCGCCGCCGGCTTGTCCGCCGCGCCGCGGCCCTCGTCGTGGCGGCTCCGGCGGCGGCGGCCGGCGGTGTTACTGCAGGCAGCTGTGTGGCGACGGTAACCGCGGCGTCCGCGAGGACGGCTGTGGCGCTGTCCGGACAACTGCCGTGTCGGGGCACTGGTGGCACCGCTCCGACCTGGGGCCGGGACCGGAGCCGTGTGCGCCCTCTGTTCGGTTGTCGGCGCTGGAGGGCATTGCGATCTGGCGGTGGTGTTGCTGGTGGCGGCGCGGCCTTCTCTGGTGCGCGACGGGCGTTTGGTGTGGTGATTGGTGTTCACCACGCGGGCGCTCGTCAGTCACCAACTCGCTCGGGTGGCAGGGTGTGTGTGTGTTTGTGTGTATGTTTAGTTCTGCGCTCTAACGAACACGCTCCGAATCAGGCATCTGCAAACATGTTCAAGAACGATAATTCCAGATTCGCCTGCTTCAGTGAATGTCAGTTGGGACGCAAACAATCTCAGAACGGCAGAAGTCGTCCACCGCGCCAAAGTGCGAAATTTACTGCACCTCACTCATTCCACACTGGTTCATATTTTGTTACTGCCGTAGGACGTCTAGAGGTCAGCATCATTCCTGATCATATACTGGAGGGCAGCTGGCGGACCAGACGGGGCGCCGCTGACCGCGTCGGGCTGGTGTCTGTCGTGGTGCAGATGCACCCCAGCGGCTCTCCCAACAGGGCACAACACATCTACCATTCGTTAGAACATGGCAGTGCGGGTCGGACGAGGTAGCTGTACGTAACTGGGCTCGCCCGTGCCGGGGACCGGCGTAACTCACCGGCGTAATGCTTTATGAAACACGGCCACGGGTAACTGCCGCAAATCGCGGCGTGCATACTACATGCGTACAGTAACATATCGACGTAACGCTTTATGAAACATGGCCACGGGTGACAGCCGCTTGGCCTCTTGCCCACGGCCACGGGTGACGAAGAGCGCCGCGTGCATACTACATGTGTGATGGCTAGTGGCGTCATGGTTACGTCCCACGTGGGCCTGAAATCGTGCAGTGTGACGATAACAATGCCAAGCGACTCGAAATACAGGACGACGGTTTGGACCAACTTGTGTGTAGTGCCCCGCCACAACGGGAGTCGTGCTATGAGCGTGTGTGCCTGGGCTAGATGGACTGTGATATCCGTACGAATATCCTAGTTGCAGGAAATGCTTTCGTAGCTGTGTAAATGACGGATGTTTTGCAGAAACATATCGCAAAGAACTGGCCTATAACAACGTTCTTAGAGTCCAAAAATACTTCTGAATGCGAAGCCTCAGTAAAGTTGTTTAACGCGGCATGGCTACATTATGTGAGGGGTGTCGCTGGCGGCCATGAGCAGAATCCAATGATCGAAACTCGTTTCAAGCTCACAACATCGAACGTTCGTGTGACGAGGACGTGGAAGATGCTCTACGCAGCCGATGGCGTACGGTCAACGTACGAACGCGTTTATGGAAAACTCAGCTTCAAATCCCATCCGAAAAATGAAACGAACCTTTCAAGCAAAGTTGGGAGTTCCTTGCGATGACGCAGTTGTCAGCGTATGAAAAGGTTCGCAGCTTGTCAAACCCTGCCCCGCCGCGTAGGCTGTGCTGACACTGTCTAACCGTGTGTGGATATTACGCGATGAGTCGCACGTCTTTTGTCAAACCCTGCCCCGCTGTGTAGGCTGTGCTGACACTCTAACCCTGTGTAGATACTTCGAGATGAGTTTTGTTAAACCCTGCCCCGCTGGGTAGGCTGTACTGACCCTGACTGGCCATTTGTAGATACTTCGCGATGAGTCTTTTGTCAAACCCTGCCCCTCTGGGTAGGCTGTGCTGACCCTGACCGGCCGTGTGTAGATACTCTCCGATGAGTCGCACGTCCTTTGTCAAACCCTGTCCCGCTGGGTAGGCTGTGCTGACACTGACTGGCCGTGCGTAGATACTACCCGATGAGTCGCACGTCCTTTGTCAAGCCTTGCCCCACTGGGTAGGCTGTGCTAACACTGGCCGTGTGCAGATACTACGCGATGAGGCGTGGATCGCCCGTCTCACCGCCTCGCGCTCAGTACTCGATGCTGATACACAAGCCGCGTGGAGGTCCCCAGCCATTCTCGTCACGCGCCCCCACTTTCTCCGGCGCCCGCTTTCTCCGCTGGTACGCCTGGGCCCGGGGGCGCCCGGTCGCCGCCAGCGCCAGATCTCCCCGTTGATGGGAGCCCCGGCGCCCCGGCGAACCGCGCGCGCTGATCGCCGGGGGTATGCGCGGCAACGGCTGTATGGAGCCGTGGCGCGGTGGCCGCCGGTGGCTACCCTGCACCGGTTACCGGCTGTATGGAGCCGTGGCGCGGGGTGGCGTGGCGGCCGCCAGTGGCTACCCTGCACCGGTTACCGCCTGTATGGAGCCGTGGCGCGGGGTGGCGTGGTGGCCGCCGGTGGCTACTCTGCACCGGTTACCGCCTGTATGGAGCCGTGGCGCGGGGTGGCGTGGTGGGCCGCCGGTAGGCTACCCCTGCACCGGTTACCGCCTGTATGGAGCCCGTGGCGCGGGGTGGCGTGGGTGGCCGCCGGTGGCTACCCTGCACGGTTACCGCCTGTATGGAGCCGTGGCGCGGGGTGGCGTGGTGGCCGCCGGTGGCTACCCCTGCAACCGGTTACCGGCTGTGTGGAGCCGTGGCGCGGGGTGGCGTTGTGGCCGCCGGTGGCTACCCTGCACCGTAACCGGCTTGGCATGCGCTAAGTGCTGTCTCACTGTTCAAAATCGGATGGGTCTCTGCGAGTCGCGCGCTCCTCTGTTCGCCAGACCGGCGGGGCGCGGCCGGTGATATGGCCAGGAAAGGTCTGGCCAAACGCTCACAGGTCCAACGAGCGCCGCACAGCGATAGGCGAGTGTCGCGAACGCAACAGGCTTGTAGACGCTGAGATCATTCGTTTCGAGGTGTGTTTTGCAGAGTTGTAATACTTGTCGGATATGTGTTTGTTGCGGATGTACGTTTTGCGTCGCCTTGGCGCCGTGCATACGTGTGAGCTGCCGACCACGCTGGTGGCATTCAGCCCTACGTTTCACCTCACTCTGCCGGCGCGGTCGGAGGCCGGCCGGGCGGCGTCGCCACACGCGGTCACCTGTGTCGATGGCTGTATTGTCGAGTCGTGAACGATCGCCGCGCGGAGGGGCGACCGCCAGACGGCGCGGAGCCACCTGTGATCCACAACACCGGCCGGCAGCGGCCGCGGCCAAACAGAGCCCGGCGAAGGTCACAGTCGCGCCACTCGCTCGGCACCGCGCTCCGTCACAATCCCGCTGGAAATCGCAGCCGCATTCAAACCCATTCGGTCACAGTCACGCGGGGACTGGGGCTCTAGCGCCCGGGGCTGCCCGGCAGGTCAGCTGTCTGCAGTTAACAACAATAACAACGGTTTGAGCAGCCGCGCGGCGGACAAACATGACACCTGAGCGGGAGGGAATCAATGCTTTCATGAGACATCCGCATCCATTCTTGGAGTGTAGCCCAGCAAGGTCATAGCATCTGCCAGCCATGTGCGCCTGTGCGCTCGCGTAGTAACAACGGTTAGTGGAACATTCCTGATGGGTCGCACTTGCCTTGCCTTTGCAGCCGAGTCGAGCTTCGACGTTCGCTCATAACGGCCCCTGTTGTTTCTCACCCCTGGCTGGCACTGGTCACTGCGATTCTAGCGTCCGTCCCCACACTACGAGCGCACACATCACTCCTCCGCCTTCTCCTTCTCCTCCTCCGTCTCCTTATAGAACTTTGGCCTGAGCCGGGCGCCGAACGGGACAGGCCGCCGCTTCCTGTTACGGACCTGGTCCAGTCGAGACCTGGGCTTGGCCGTGGTACTGGCGCCCGCGGCCTCCTCGGTGGCGGCGGCGGCGGCCGACGCGACGGTGGCGCCCTCCGCCTCCGGCTCGGCCGCCTCCGTCGAGCTCTTCTGTCGGTTGTAGAACGAGCTGATGTAGGGCCGTCGCGTCGGCAAGTTGAAGAATGGTCGGCGGGAGGGCCGGGCGGGGTTGTGGTCGTGGTGGGAGCTGGTGCGGCGGTGGTGGGCGTCTCAGTCGGGGCAACCTCCTCCTCCACCTCCTCGACTGGCGCCTGCTCCTCCTCCTGCGTTGGCGCCTGCGCCTCCTCCTCCTCCTCCTCAGGCTGTTCCGCGGGGGCTTCCTCCTCCTGATCTGGGTAGTACACGAAGAAGACATCGCTGTTGCCCTTCTCGTCCACCACCTGGATCTCCTCATTGACGGCCAGCGGGTCTTCCACCACCTCCACGATCTCCACGATGTTGACATCATCGGGGCCGGCCAGCTCGTTCGGCTTGATCACCTCTTCACGGTACTCGGAGGCCTGCGGGTACTGCGTGTCGAAGCCCTGCTGCGG